AGAGAGAGAGAGAGAGAGAGAGAGAGAGAGAGAGAGAGAGAGAGAGAGAGAGAGAGGAGTTTACAGAAAGGTATGATTCACAGAGTTCACATGTGGCATTTATGATGGAAGTATGTTGTGTTTCTCCAACGTTAAGAATATAGAGAAAGAGCACTTGCTACTCTTGCAGAATTGGGTCCAGTTCCAAGCACCCTCCTGGCGGCTCACAACCATGTGTAACTCCAGTATCAGGGGATCCATACCCTCTTCTGACTGCAGGCACCAAGACATACATGCAGGCAGATACAACATTCATACACATAAAATGAATCCCCGGGCGGTGGTGGTGCACACCTTTAATCCCAGCACTCAGGAGGCAGAGGCAGGTGGATCTTGGGGCAATTTTCAGGACAGTCAGGGCTACACAAAGAAACCCTGTCTCAGGGGAAAAAAGTAAAAATAGGAGTTTTTAAAATGAGAGCCTGTTATGGGAAATCTAACGCTGAAGTCATACTTTCATTCTAAACTATTCCTTCCAGAGTATGTTGTTAGCATACGAAGCTGTTCCACTAAGCAACTTCTAACGCTGTCAACTTTTGAGACACTTGGGATCGAGAACAAAACCCAGATAACAGGGAACACCCACACATGGCCCTGGCACCTTGTAAGGCCCTGCTTGAAGGGCCTCTGTCCCCCTTCCCTGGGACCTCTGGATTTCTTCTCAGTGGCCATGTTAGGAAGAAGGCTGGAGGGAAGGGACTGCCTGACCTGGTAAGCTCTGAGCTAGAGGCCGGCCACACAGCGGGTATCGTTTTCTGTTTGACAGATAAAGGAAAGAAAGGGTCTCCCCGGGACGTAGGTCACGTAGTCACTCACTTACCCAAGTTTTTCAGACTCAAAGAATATACTCTTTATGACTTCATCATCATCTTTCACTAACCAGAGATTGGGCATAATGAAGTTACAAGCAGTACAGCTCGGAGGGAAAGGTGTCCTGGCAGCCAGGAGCCAAGGAATACCACCACGTCACACTACACAACAAACCTCACACTAGATGTTTATTGAGAGGGAAAAAACCAGAAGGGTGGCTGCCTCTGCCTCTGCTCAGGTGAGAAACAGTGACAAAGTGGACAGGATGGAGGGCTTCTCTAGATTTCTTGGGAGGGGGTGGAACTTTCCAGGGTGGAGCTTTCCAGGGTGGCAACTGATGGGATTGCAAGTCCAGAGATTGTAGAGTGGGGGCAGGCCCAGCGGTTAGAGCAGTTAGAGGTCCTGGGGGAGAGGCCTGGCCACTCATGTGGCTCTGGGGACTTAGAGACGTCCCTTGTCCACCATCATGCCATCACTTTCCTCCTCTATAAAAGAGAATTCTTTGAGACTTTAAGTTTCACACATAACTTTATTAGGTAAGTTTACATAGGCCGGTGTGTATCCGGGCCCATCATTGTCTGTTGCTCCCTAGAACTCCCTTCCCAGCATTTTAATCAGAGCCTTCCCAGAATGGACAGAGCAGGCTGTTTGCTAAGTGCACATCATCACTAACAGCCTGTTTCCTTAGATACTGCTGGGATTATCTGCCAAAGGCCGCTGAGTTCCTTCCCAGGCAATTGAATTAAGCAAACATTTGTATTGTGCTCTCCCTTGTTCCGCTCCCCTCCCTCCCCTCCTCTCTCTCCACGCTGCACGGCAGTCCACTCACGACATGAGCCAGGCCCTTCCACAGCTCCTGCGATGAACCTTCCAGTGGCCTGGCTCATGTGCTTCCCCTTCTCTTGACCCGCAAGTTCTCACCCGTCCAGTTTCAGCCCCATATCCTCCGTGAGGGCCCCATTTCCACACACACCGGGTCCACACAGCTCCGTTCACATCCTAGCAACAGCATTTGCCTCTCTACCTTTTATTAATGTTTATTTTGCCTCCATGTCCTCTTTATATTTGTGACACTAGTTAGTGATTCCTTCTACCTGGCTTATAGTGGGTAATTAACTACTTTGATATAAATTAATTAAAACTTTTAGAGAATTCATGGTTTTGGTTTTTTCTACACTATTTGTTTTTACTCCCCGACACTTTCCAAATGCCACCAACTGCTGGACGGCTGCTCAGCTGGTAGAGTACTTGACTAGCATGTACAAGGCACTGGGTTGGATCTCCAGCACCCCATAAAAGGGGCATGTGGTTCGTTCCTGTAATCCTAGCAAATTAGTTCAGGGACATCCTTGGCTACAAAGCACGTTTGAAGCTAACCTGGGATAGATGAGACTCTTGACTCTAAAAAATATTGGAATGAGGTGCTGATGAGAGTCACCCTGCCCTAAAAACTATAAGTATTTAAAGGTTGTGGGAAGAGAGACACAGAGACATTTTCTTCAGTTCTGGAGCCAATGATAAGTTTCGTTTTCCCGCAAG